TAAGTTGTCATTGCGGAATGTTAGAAAAATGTAAGAAAACACTCAGGACAAGTAAAAATTTAGCTATGACTCTACAACCCACATTCAGTCATTTTTAATTTATTTCTGTAAAAACAAACAAACAAACAAAACAAAGCTATAGCAATTAAATCATGCAAATTAGACTTGGTGGGGATTCAGCCTGCGAGTTTCAGCATAATGTATCTTTTTCTTCTTTGCAGATGCACTAGTCTTCTGGTTTCTGATGTTGGGACGATTGTTTTGCTTAGCTTTACTAGTTTTGAAAGGAAGATCTATCCAGATGTGATATTTGCCAACAAGCCTCTCTGAAAATTGCCCTTGGCTTCTCTCACTGCCCATTTGGCTATAAGTTCCATCCTCTGTTCAGATTAATAGCTGGGGCAGGAAGGGAGGGAAGGGAGGATAGTTTGATGTGCTTTATGTCACCATTTTCCAGGCATGCATTCATTAGCTTTAACTCTGCCGACTTGAAATGGGCTTCTATCTAATCCCCAGGGTCTGATTCTTTATCACTCTTTGCCTAATTCCCAATGTTTTCTCTTACCAGACCTTTGGACTTTTCCTATCATTGCATTGCTCTGTCCCCTACTTAGCTGACTTCCAGTTATTTGGGAGTCAAAACTCCCTGGATGCAATGCTTACTGTGTTGTAGAAAAGAGATAAGGATGATATAGTCTATGGATTTGTGTGAAGCAAAGCACTGTAACCCCAATTAGAGGACCCAGCATTAGAGGAACAGCAGCCTAATCTTTTCTTTTTGTTCATAATTTAAACAAGAATTGAATTCAGGTCTGTTGACTACAATGATCAAGCTGTATACTAAATGCTGCTTCTAGAAGCTGATCCATTGCCTTGAAACCTGAAACCAGAAAATTTCAACCTCATTTGTGCCACCAGATACACAAAAGAGGAAGATGTTTGTTGCTGTTAGAGATGTAAATGTTCCCATCTGAAATAATAGCATAATTCATGTGATTAATTCTACAGTAGAGAAAAAGTTCAGAATAAAATTTTCTAATACAGGTACCAGACGATCATTCCTGTAACACAGTCAACCCCTCTATGTGGAGAACACTATAGAGACGGAGTGTGGGGGGAAAACAAGAGCTGCAGGACATTAGGTGTGGTCTGATTCATGCTGAGACTACAGGCCATCACTCCCTTTGGTCTGGACACTACAGTCCTGTTAATTCAGCTCCAGATCAAATTATGCTCTTGGCAGTCTCCACATGCTGGTGAGTCATGTTGGGCTGGCAGTCAACTGAAATTGCTAATCCCTCTCACACGTGCAGCTGTTTAGCTGAGTCTCCGGGATCCTGGCTTGGTGCAGTGCTTATGAGAACTTGCATACTGTGTTTTCATGTTTCTAAAATCATTTCATTTACAAGTAAAGTATGGGAATTTCATATACTGCATAAGCATTGTGACTCAGGGATAAAACAAGCTTATTAACTATTATTAAGTCATCCTTTAAGATGAAAGGACCAGATAAATCAGAAAGATGCAAAATGTTAGGATAATGTCCATCTCTCTATCTTCCCCAGTTTCTCATATCTAATAAATTAATTTTCTCTTTCTGTCCTTCTAAATGCAGACATTACACAAAGGCTTTGCATCCCTATTTTTCTCTGTAAAGATCCCAGCTGAGGAGCTCAGGGAGATTCTTAAACACGAGCAGAGGGGCTCAGAAGGCCCATGAAGCTGCTCACTTACACTACCTCAAACTTGGTTCCAAATGACTACATGTTCCCCTGGGAAAGATGACCTCCTCCTCCAAACTGGCTGGGGCCACATGAACTGGAAACCATTTTCTGAGCATATGCTACATTATTTAGGTTTAGGCACTTTTTTATATATGCTATTTTATTTCATCATTATAGCAATCTTGTAAGTTATATATGATTCTCTCTTTTAAAGTGAAAGAACTAGTAGTACAGGGAGAATAAGAGTATTATCCCAGGTTACCAAAGAGAAACCAAGGAGCTTGGATTTGACCCTCACACTGTCTGGGTTTAAGACCCAACCTATTCAATGAGCCATGTAGACATACCTGTCAGTGCACAGAAAGAAGCCAACTCTGGGAGAAAAGTTGTAGGGTAGAAAAGTGACCAGACATATGCACTAAGGGAAGATAATAAGGGTGTACACTTACTTTGGTTTTAGCTTCCAGAGCAATGCCAAACTTATATTAGGCACTCAGTAAATCACTGCAAACTCATAAATTGGAAATTGTCAGATATTTGCAATATTACTTATTAACCTTAAAACTTTCAATTAATCAGCAGAAATTTATTATAGCCATCTGATTTGGTGGCAGTTCAGTAGACATGAAAAATGTTCTCCAACTTAATTAAGTGCCAAGGTGTATATGATATTGATTGTTGATGCTGTGTGTATTTAGAGATGGGGGATCTAGGGGATTTGGGGGGAAAGGTGTCATTGAACACACAGTGCTCATATGATGTCATCCTTGAAGGAAGGATAGAAGGTTAGTAGCTTTCATGGAAGCAAAGCATCATTAGGAAGGAGGTCACAGATCTCACAGATGTCTGGGGGAAAAGAGAAACTGAGAAAAAGGAGTAATAAGAAATGATTTTAGCAGTAAGAGTTGGCTGCTATAACAAACAATCTGCAAATTTATAACGCATGAAAGGATCTTATCAGGAAGCTCTTCAGAATTGGATCCAGAAGGGCCATACGTTTCTATTCTCATTTCATTGTCTAGAACTCAAAATTTTGAGTAATAATCAGAGGTAGTAAATATAGCCTGTGTATACCTAGGAAGAAGGGAATGTGGATTTGGTGAAGCGTTAGCCAGTTTCCATGGCAAAAATGAATGGACTTGGAAAGAAATAGCAGACAACATACACACACACAAACAAACACACACACACACACACACAGCTGAAGATTAAGAGAACTGATCTTTTTATTATTCCATTTTATTAATTTAAAACAGAATTAATAACCCTCACTACATGCTCATAGGGTTATTTAAGAGAGTCAAACGAGATAATAAATATAAAATTGCTCTGAAAAACCATTTTATTAATAATGGGGTAAACTTCTTGGATGCCAAGAAATTCCTATACTCTAAGTATGTAAAGAGTTTAAAGGATACAGAAAAAGCTGGACCTGATGGCACATGCCTATAATTCACAAGTTGGAGACCAACCTCAGTAGTTTGGCGAGATAATATCTCAAAATAAAAAAAAATAATAAAAGGACAAGGGGATGTAGTTCAGTGATAGGGTACACTGGGTTCAATCCCTAGTACTGCAATAATAAAAAAAAATAGCAATACAGAAAACACCCAATAATCGATTTTAGCAAGGAGTTTTGATTGGGATAAAACAGGAAATTATCCTTTTAAGACAACTCCATTGATCCAAAATTTTATCAGCTGTGTATTAGTAACTAGATGAATCTTTGTTGAGTGAATGAATAGTGCCATGTTCTCTTAATACACACCCACACATGTGCAGATAATATGTACAAAAGGGAATTCAGAGAGTGAATATATAGAACAGAAGGAGGGAGGGTGGGAGGTGCTATTAATTATGGAGGTAAGGGAAAATATGAGGAATTGACCTTTTTAAAAGTTTCTTTTGGAAAATCAGAGTTAGAATCCTAGACTTTGTAGAATCATTAAAAACTAGCAAGTTAAATTGAAGACCAAAAAGAGAGCCGTCATGACAGAGCCAGACCCAGGAAAACTCCTGATTTATGGTCTATTACAAAGGTTGGGACTGGGGAAGTGTTTCTTAAGACAGCGTGAGGTGCTGTAGTCACACCCGGTACACAGCAATGCACATCCAGGAATTTCTCCTGAGCCTGCGGGGTTTTGAGACAGGATCACACCTTAAAGAAGAGCTGGATTGCTGGGTCATTTCTGAAGGAGGGAGTAGGCTAGTCTGAGCAACCACACATCTGTAAACGTGTCAGGATTCTTAGGTGAGTTGCAAAATTGATGACCTGATTGTGAATTGGGAGTCAGGAGACCTCACTCAGACTTCATGCCTCTGGCTACCTCCATGACCTGAGCCCTCACTTTCTGTCTGTGCTACACTTCCTTGCTCATCTTCACTTTGTAAGATAATATCAGGGAGTAACTGACCAACACAGTATCTTTTCGGCTGCTTGTATTAACTGGAAAATTAATCCATACACAGCAACAGTCTCCCTCTTATTGCTAGTACTGCTTCCCACAGTGTACACACACAAAGTTGGAAGGCTATTTACTTAGTTTAGACAAGACAAAATGTCCATGTGAATTTGGAATGTTTTCATTAAAATTTTTATTAAAAGGGGCACATTGATGGATCTTATATATGCTAACATGACATTCCAAACAAATTAATAATGATGATAAAAAGAATAATGACTGCAATTCATTGAGTGTTCCCAGTGCTAATTTTAATAGCTACATTATCTCAATGCTTTCACAATAAATCTATGAGCTGGGCACCTTGCATTTTAAGAAACCAAAGGTTCAAATAAGTTTGTGACTTGAGCAACATCACACAGAGTGGAAAGTAGGTCCCATCTGGATCACCAACCTCATATTCAAAACACAACACCATCATGATCCTCCAAACACATCTAGATTTAACAATTGGTAACATTTTACCATATTTTCTTTATCTTTTTTTTAAAAAAAAGAAATATCAGATATCATGAAACTTTACTGCTAAACATATGATATATTAGTAAATATCTCTGAAAACTGAAGAAATTCTCTTCCTAGATGACAAGATCATTATCATACCTAATGAAGTTTATTTTAATTTCACCAATATAGTCTAATTTTATCTTAGCTCATATTCAGCTTTCTCTGATTGTCTCAAAAATATATTTCACATTCACTTTCTTCAAATCTGGATTAAATCAGGTTCATCTGCATATAATATTTGCTCACTGAAATATCTTTTAATCCAGAAAATTGCCTCACTTCTCCTCCTCCTTTTTCATGACATCAGATCATCCTACTGGAAAACCTTAGGCAGTTGTTCTGAAGATCCTGACCTTTCAACTATGGCAGAAGGATACACTGATGAGGTGAGCTATGAGTCAGATCTTGAGACAGACTTACCTGAAAAAATGAAAAAGTACTGTGACCATATGACGAGTTCATTTTCATGTAATGGGGTATCCACCCTATGAATGGGCAAATTTCATGCAGAACACATGTTGGAGAACTCCAAGCTTAGTAAAATAGTCCCTCCGTCAAGGAGATAAAATGATGCCCCCCAAACTCGAACAGTGTGAGAGGAAGGGTCAGGAGAGGTGTCCTTGAGAAAGTGTGCAGAAGTCTGAGCTGTGCCTTGGAGGGCAGAGCCATTTTGATGGTTGAAACAATGGAGAGATCGACTTAACTTAGTGTTTTCATTCCTTAGTGAATGAACTGATCCCTTAAGCACTGAGAAGACAAGTGAGTCAATCAGATTAACAAAGTGGTATCCAATCTCTAACCCAGTGAAGATTTCATTGCCCTATCTCAAATTGAGTCAGATTTAGTGTCAGAATGGCCTATACTAATTTTCTGAGATGCTTTAACAAAGTATAAAAACCTGGGTAGCTGAAAACAACATAATTTTTTTCCCTTAAGTTCTGAAGGCTATAAATATGAAATCAAAATGTTAGCAGGACCACATTCTCTCTGTTGGATTGAGGGGAACCTGTTTCCCTGTCTCTTTCTAGCTTTTCATGGTTACTGGATGACATGTTTTTTGGCTTATAGACTATAGACCCTTCCTCTGTCATCTCAGGACCATCTTCTCCCTGATTCTCTAAGACACCAGTCACATTAGGTAGACTAAAGGTCCATCTACTTTGGAATGTCCATAACTGAAGATACATCTTCAGTGGTCCTGCTTCCCAATAAGGCGCACATTCTGAGGTGCAGATTTATGACTTCAACACTCTGATATATCTTTGAAGTAACACAAGTTACTTACATAAAAACCTGCAGCTGTAAAATAAAAATGTGTGCCTTGGGCTTAGCTTACTTAGAAATATTGACAACCTTTCTTCAAACACAATTGTCTCATGCTCTGTTGAACTACACACTCTCTGGGGGCACATGGGATTCTATAACTCTAAATGAGATTAATGGGAAGAGTATTAAGACCCTGAATTTTTCTGATATGTTCTTCTCTTAATTTTGACTATTTAAAGATAAAAACACCTTTTATGATATCTTGATGGGCCTATCTTCTATTGTACAAACATAAGTTGATAATTTAAAGAGCAACCTCTTATTGTAATTTAAATAACAAATGTGTGTGTTGGTTCATTGAGAAAGAACTTCTGGCTGCTTGTGGTTTCTTGGCAACCTGTAAGCTATTTTTACCTACAGAAAACTAAAGAGTAACTGAAGGATATTTAAAACAACAGAGACCCAACTGTTTGTAATTATGAGTCTTTCCCTGTGTTATGTCTTTCTGGACAGCTGCCTCTGCTGTACCAACTCAGAGCCCTGTGCTTACCAGGTAGATTTTTTTTTTCAAATGACCTCTTGGCAGGGCATGTGAACACTATAAGGCAACCCATGTCCCATATTTATGAGATGTTCAAGATGCTTGTCAAAGGAGAAAATTGTGCAGCAAGTGGTGGGGGTGATCCCTATGTTGAGAAATCTATGCAATTTATTTCAATTATTTTGCATAAACAATTACTGAGTTCCACCACAGTCTTATGGCACCATGGGTCTGGATTAAACCCTGGGTCGGTATTCCTTTGGTTGTGTCACATCAACTGTTCTCTTAGCCTCTTTTATGCTCAGGTTCATGGTTGGTAAAAATTTAAAACTAATACACACCCTTCAAGTTTAGTGAGGAAATCAGCTGGTATAGGGCCCAAGATTAAGGTCAATGATGACCTTGGGGAATGATGGTAGAGAAATTGTTGCTTTGACCCTTTTCCAGGTGTGTGTGTGTGTGTGTGTGTGTGTGTGTGTGTTGTCTTATGTTCTTTACACTGTCCCCAGGGGCCAGGGATCCTAGGGCTCTAAATAGGAAGGAGTTTCACTCCAATACCATCAGCTCAAGGTGACAAGATACCCCACTGTCTTGGATTTCTGCCCTCAAGAAAGTGACATCTGCTTGAGAAGGACAGAAGAATTTTTCTCAAACTTCTTCATTATCACCACTAACACATTTCCATGACTTTGTATTCTCATTACTCTCATCAATAATAATCACAGCTAGAATTTCTTAAGTGCTTGCTGTAATACAGGCACTGTGCTATAAACATTTTTTGAGCTTATTGAAGCCTCGTTGTGACCCTTTAGGGTAGGTGCCAGACTTTTCTTTCCAACTAGAAGAAGTGTACGTGGAGGAAGCACCATCACACTGAGTTAATCCACATGCTGTGGACCCCGGTTCACCAGAGCTAAGCTCGCTGGGTTAAATCCCTTCTCCACTGCACAGAACACTAGTTGTGTCCCCTGGCACATGTTATTTAATCACCGTGTTCTTTTGTTCTCAATAAAATCGTAGTGATGATTATGATAAGATTACCTGTTTTGTAGGAATATTGTGACAGTAAATGATTTGAAAGCATATAGTGCTCTGAATACATCTCATACAATAAGAATTCAACAAGTGTTTGCTCTTTATCTCCATTTACTAAACGAAGAGAGGCTCAGGGGAGCTAACTGACTAGATTGAGGTTATTCAAGTTTTGAATAGAGCTGAGATTTAAGCATAGGCAATCCAATTCTTGCAGCTTACATTTGAAACCTCTATGCTGAATATCTAAATAGATTTTAATCTCTAAACCTATCAAGCATTGAAGAGCTGGCAGGATGCCATCTAAATCTATGGGCCAGGGGAGTGGCACAGATGACAGGGGCTCTCAGAACATCACTATGGGCTGGAGTGAAAGTGAAATACAACTCTGTTTGGAGATTACCATGACACTCTCCAAACAGGGTGGAGACACACTGATTTAAAACCCTCTAAATCCTGGAGATTGAATTGCATCAAAGGTCAAGAGCAGGAATATGGTCTCTCACTTGTCTTTTGAAGCCTGGGTTCAGTTGGAATTTTAAAGAGGAAAAAAAAAAGAATTTAAGAATTCCCCTTTCCCTTCTCTTTCCTCTTGGGTTTGGGAGATCTGAACCTGAGGACAGCCTGTTCTGAGTGTGGGTTGAGAGCAGAATTTGGTCACCCAGGGCGGTTTAAGTTTCTGAATTGAATGTGGAAAAGAGAGACAATGACTGGGCTACCCAGCCTGGTCATTAGCTTGGGTGTTGAAATGGAAAGATATATCACATCACATAATCCTACCTGGATACTCACCTCCTGCCTATCACTTGAATGTATTTGGCACAGCTGTGGCTCAGTTTTGACACTTGAGTTTAGATGATAAATAAAAACGGTGCCTCCATATTTTATAAGAACAAACACACACCATTTCCCTCTTTGTTATTTTTTATTATGTGCACAGGCTTGAGCCAAGCTTTTCTGGGCTTTAGAAGTGTTTCTTGTTTTGCTTTTTTTTTTTTTTTCCTCCTCAAACCTGGCACCCTGAGTATTGCATGACAGAGTTGATTCAGAAGCAATCTACAAGCCTTCTACTTGGGGGGCCCCGCCAGGCCTAAATGAAAACCATCATGGCGAGCCCTGGGGGAGCCTAAGGTTTGAGAACAAGCTTTGCAAGGAGGGCGGGTTGCCAGGGACCCTCCTCTTTGTTACAAGGAGCTCAGGGTACTTAATTAGGTGTCCCAGAATGTTGTGTTCTCTGTGAAGCGTCCAGAAAGCTGGATATATTGCATGAGGCTCTGTGACTTTTTAAATTGTGGCTTTATTTTCATTCCAAAAATTAAGTCAGTTAGTGAGGTACATTTTAGAAAACCCCCTCTCTTTAGCAGTGAACTCTGAACAAATAAAACTCCTGTCAGCAGGGCTTGTCAGATAGGGTTATTCCTCCCTTGGATCATGCCTCCTTCACTTTCACTGGCTTCTTTTTCCACAACCCCTAGCCTGGGACTAGCTCATTTGTCTCTTTATTCAGACACCTAGTTTAGTGTTAATTTTTGTACACTGCTTCTGGAGTTCTGGTCCCCAATGTGTGATTCATCTTTGGGGCATATGAACATGCCTCGGGCCCACAAAACAGCCTGGAATCAATGAGAGGTGGATTAAGAAGTCTCATGTATTTTTTAAAAAATATTCTTCAGATGTATAGATCTTTATTTTATTCATTTATTTATTCGTGGTGCTGAGAATTGAACCCAGTGCCTCACACGTGCTAGGCAAGCACTCTACCACTGAGCCACACAGCCTCAGCCCAAAGAAGATTCATGTATTAATAAAGGATTTTATAAGTTACCTCATTCATTTGACCTGTTATTCCCAAGATTCTCCATAAAGTGGAAAACAATCACAAAACACTGTATATACCTTTTGCAAGCCCCATTTCTCACAAAAAGGTTTGGGTGTTTTTCCTTAAATATCAGTGTTAGATTTAATATGTCCAATATTTCTTTTGAAGCTGAAATTATGTTTATATTATTGGCATTTTAGTGCTCTGTCCTACAAAGAAGGCTTCTTGACCTTGTGAAAGAAATTTTATAAATAAGAAAACATACAGTTAAGGCAAAGCACCTTACAATCTCTCCTGGTTCCATCTAATGATCAATTTTGTAGGAATTTTTTACTTTTAAAATATAAGGAAAATTACTTAGAAAAACACACCTGTAAGAGAGCAACAATAATAATGTGTACTATCAGGAAAGAATACCTGGACCCGCACCATGAAATATTGCTGATTAAGAATGGTAGTTAGTGTGTGGCTTGAAGACGAAGGAGCATTGCTTCCTTCTTAACCTCTCTTCCAATTCCCTTCCTTCAATTATCTCCTTCCTTAACTCTTTCTTCCCTTGCCCTTCCTTCCTCTTCCTATTCTTCAATGTCAAGGTTAAACAACATTAACACCTAAATATAGTGATCTTAGCACTGTGCTTATCACTGTGCCTAAAAACTGTGTTGGCAACTGATTTATGGCCTACCATCTCCAATTCACACATTTTTTTCTACTCTCTGAAAATGGATCT